ACAAGCTGAATGTCGATCCATTACATCCGCCCGTGCGACAGATGAGGAGAAAATTCAACGCCGCCATCAATGAAGCGGTCGGTAAGGAAGTAGACGAGCTACTGGACAACGGCTCCATCAGAGAATCAAAGTACCCCGAGTGGGTCGCCAATGTTGTCATGGTCAAAAAGAAAAACGGGAAGTGGAGAATGTGTGTGGATTTCACCGATCTGAACAAGGCATGCCCAAAAGATCCATTCCCACTACCCCACATCGACCAACTGATCGACGCCACTGCAGGACATGAACTACTGAGCTTCCTAGACGCCTACTCCGGCTACAATCAAATCATGATGGCCGAGGAGGACCATGAAAACTATGTCAGATTCAGTTTATTTATAATCGCAAGACGATTTAATATTTTTTCATTCATTCCCATCCAATCAAATAAGTCTTTTTTTCGATTTTTTTCTTTGTTTTCTGGATTTTGATGAATTGTAAGATCAACATAAGTCACATTTAATTACGATTATAAGTCACATTTATAATTACGATTTATAAGAGGCAATTATGTTATGAATACCAAAATAGCTGAAAATCCACATGCACCTGACCAAGTTAGTAGCCAGATCAGCACTCCTCAAGTAACAGAAAATGTGAGGCGCAGCACAAGAGTGAAGAAGCATCCAACAAAATTAACAGACTTTGTTTGGCAGCAGAGTACTGGAACGTGTGAAGTGTGAAGCAAGGAAATAGGATTTAGCATTCCCTATAAATACCTAGTAGAATAAGAATTACAGTAGGCTTGTATTATGTGAAAGTTCTGTGCCCTCTCATCTCCCTTCTCTCTGTGTCTTCTCATCCCCATTCTTGTGGTGTTTGAGTTCTTTGTAATTTCCTTTAGCTGAGTTGTTCCTATTACTGCCAATTTATCAATACAATATACTTTGGTGTTATTTGGGTTTGTAGCAGTGTAATAGTTTTTTGGGGACAAGTTTTATTTTTGGATTATCCTTTAGAATTTTGCAGTTTTAATCATGCCATGTCGTTCTTAAAAGAGATTGTTATTAAAGGTAAAATAGGAATATTATAATTAAGAGTTGTTAAATATAAAAATATGTCAATTCTTTTTGTATTGAAAAGACGAGAGCTGAAAAGACAAGAGTGTTATATAAAATGGAATAAAAGGAACATCAAAAAGTACTTTTTGCATCATCTTAATTATATCTCTGGCTCTCTTCTAGTCGTAGACACTAAATACAGTGAAATTTATCTATAAGAATTATCTTCTATAATAACACTTCACT